GGGGGGGAATTTGAACCCGCCCCTCCGTCACGTCTCGGGAAAGGGGGGGGGGTTCGAACCCCCCCCCCTCCATCCAGGGGGGGGAAGGGGGGGCGGTTCCAAACCCCCCCGCCCCCTCCAAGCGACCGCAGAACGCGCTCCTTCATACGTAACTTCAGGTTTCGCACGGGTTTCAAAATCGAAAACCACGAGCACATGTAAAAACACAGTTTCGCAACAAGGGGTTTTGTTTTCAACATCTTCATAACATGCTACCAAACGGGCCTATCGCTCGCGCGTGTCGAAATGGCTCGAACGCCCTTTGCGCGCGTGCTGTCGCAAAAACCCCGTGCAAGCAATGGGGCGAAGTGCGCACGGGCGCGTCTTCGCGCGCGCATGCCGTAAAGAGTTCAAAAATGGATGTCCCCGAAAAAATCTGAACACATGGTTTTGCATCATCCATTTTCCAAGAAATTTAATCGCCGTTTTGCGGGGTCGTAAGAAAACTATACGTTTCCACCTGTTTGTCCATGTCTGCCTAACGTGCGACTCGCGCAGCATGCCGCCCTCATTCGAACGCCCGTGCGCGCGAGCTGGGGGTGGAGGGGGGGCACTATAAGTGTCAAATCATACCACGGGGACCACGAGCGCGCGTCGGCGGGCGTGATCAACATCGGCGCCGTCACTGGCCTCGCCACGGTCATCGCCACCATCGTCACCAGTATCGCTACCCTCAGAATTGTGTCTACCGCTGTTGGCGTGCCCATGGTACCGCGCCCGCCCACGTCACCACCTCGCACTGAAGTGCTGGCTGGGAAATGCCCCACGGTCAGCGCCACCGCGGCCGCGTCGGTCGCGCCAAGCCAGCTGGCCGCTGTGCGCGCGAGAATGCGCGCGCTAGCGCGGCCGCAGAGAATTACCAGCCAACTCCAAGCACTCATTGCAATCGCCGCCGCATGGATTGTGCAGGCCAAGTTGCGGGTGGGTGGGTGGGATGTTTACAAGAGCATGGAAGCATGGATCAACTCGCTGGTAAGGACCAATTGCACCACATAGATTGCACCACGAAGAGTGCACAGCGTAGTCTGCACCATGTTGATTCCACCATATATATATATATACACAGATATAGGTTTGCACAAATACTGCGCAACACGAAATGCACAACATAGATTGCACCTCGTATGTTGCACAACGTAGTTCGCACCACATCGATTACATAACATATGGTGCACAGTAATGTTTGCACCACGTAGATTGCACCACGTCGACCGCAACACATTCATGGCACAACATAGACGGCGACAAAACAACCTGTTTGGGGTCCTCGCACATGCAACTTCGGGCCTTCGACTTGGGCCCTCCCGGCGCCATGCGAGCCCTGGTCACTGACGACACAAAGGCCCAGCAGGGGCCAGGAACATCCAACAAGTCCTGGCCCTCCCCTATCACCGATCCTCCATTCCCTTTGATCCTCGATCACCGAGAGCCTGCCGCAGCATCGTCAGACCTATCCCCCCCCCTCGTGTGCGCCGAAGGAGGGGGGGCCAGAAAGGGGGGGGGGGGGGGCTGCGCAGCATGCCCCGAGGCATGTGCGCGGACGAGGGGCACCACCAGTGGACGTGCCGAGAGAAAGGAGAGAGGGGGGGGGCCACAGCACATTAATCGAGGAGATGTCATGGCCCCGGCCCGGCCGTGGCAGTTTAGGCCCACCCCCCCGACGCCCCAGTCCTCACCCCGCCGTGGACGCCACCGATGTCCCCTCGCGTGCGCCACGGTTCCCAAGGCGCCGCCCGCCCCGCCCCTGCCGAGGTGGGGTGGTGGTGTGGTGTGGGGGGGGGGGGGCGGCGCACGCCGCGGCACGCGATCGAGAGGGCAACCCTCCCGACACACAAGGGTGTAGCCGGCGGCAGGCACGCGGCAGGGGGGTGAGGAGGAGGATGGAGGAGGAGGCGGAGGAGAAGGAGGAGGAAGAGGAGGAGGAGGAGGAGGAGGAGGATGGAGGAGGATGAGGAGGAGGCAAAGACGAGGAGAAGGAGGGGGAGGGGGGAGGAGTGGAGGACGAGGAGGGAGGAGGAGAAGAGGAGGCGGAGGAGGAGGAGGAGGGAGAGGATTGAGGAGGATGGCGGTGGAGGATGGAGGAGGATGAGGAGGACGAGGAGGAAGAGGAGGAGGAGGAGGAGCAGGAGGGGAGGAGGAGGAGGAGAATGGGGAGGGCGGAGGAGGGAGGAAGAGGATTGAGGAGGGATGGCGGATGGAGGATGGAGGAGGATGAGGAGGAGGAGGAGGAAGAGGAGGAGGAGGAGGAGGAGCAGGAGGAGGAGGAGGAGGAGGATGGAGGAGGATGGAGGAGGAGGAGGAGGAGGAGGAGCGGGCCAGGGCTCAGAAGGCCTGCGGCCTCCCGAGAAGCTCCCCGAGCCTTCTCCGAGGCCCCGCCGCCTGCGGAGGAGGCCCGCTCCCTCTCGCTCGCCCCCCCGGCGCGCCGCCGAGGCAGGTGTCGGGCAGCAGTGGCCAGGGCGCTCCCGGCGGGGACGGGGAGAGTCGGCGGTGGACAAACCTCCCTTTTGTACACCTCCCCTTAGTGAAAACGGCCTGGGACCGAAACCAACTGACCTGGACCCGCAAAATTGACGGCCGCGACGCCCTCTCGCGAACCGAAAACGGCCAATTCCTTAATCGACGTGTCAGGGTAGGAGGTCTGTCCACCCCCGAGAGGGTAGAGGAATCAGGGCTGAACCTAAACGGCGTGTTCCGTTTTCGTGTTGTTTTCGTTCGCCCTCGCTGTTGTCTCGAATCCGCCTCTACCTCAAAGACGAGGTCGAAACGAAAACGGCCCACGAAATCGTCAAAAACACCGTTTAGGTCCAGCCCTGAGAGGAATATCACACTGCATGAGCACCATGTTTCTGGAGATAAGAAAACCATACTTGCCCAAACGTCGACAACACATATGAAAGCAACCACCTCAGCAGAGCCGGCAGAGGTCTCCGGAAGCACATGTCCCCACGACCAGGCAAGGGCCCCTCACGCGAAAGCATGGCTGGGGAATTCCTTGGACGCCCGCGCGGATTTCTAGGATCGGCGCTGGTCCCCGGGACACCCCCTCCCTCGCGGGCTGGGCGCGCCAGGGGCGGCGCCTGAGGCGCCGCGGGGGTGGGGGTGGTGGGGGCGAGCGTCGATCAAAGAAGTCCGCGGGGATCGCAGAGATATTTCCGGTTATGAAGAAGAGGAACGGAGCGCGACCGCAGAACTTGACACGACTCGGCCTGAACCGTTGTGCGGATCAATTGGCCGCCAGGCAAGCCAGGAACCCCACAGAGGCCGACCTGCGACAGGCAAACTCATGCAGTGAACCGCAGCCTGAACGAGGAAGCGAACGCGCTGCAGGAAACGAACTCCGACACGTTATGCTTTGCCGTATCTTGTCCTTCGAGATACCCGTCGGTGGGAGGAAGCAGGTAGAAACATAAAGTAGGAAGGGCGTTTGAAGTAGATTAAAATCGGGCCTGTCCCCCTACAGGCCGATGTTGGACGAAACTTTTCAACTAGTCAAAAAAAGTTTTAAAATACTCAAAAGTATTCAAAACATCGTCCCCAGGCTATTTTTTGACAGGCCCGACTTAATAAAAGTAGATTGGGCTTCGGCCCGCCCCCTGAAGCGGAGGGAAGACGGAACACCACTCGACTCTTGAAGCAGGAAGGCGCCCAAAGCCAATTGGGATCTGGGGATCCAGAAATACCTACAAGGCAGTTTTTAATACATCGGATGTTTTGCAGAAAAACATCGGATCTTTAATACATGATTAATTTTTGAACACGTGTATGCACGAACTCATCGTTGTTTTAAATACGAAATTCCATACCTGGGCTCTGCCTAGAAGGGTTCTTACCCTCTTTGCTTAAAGGGGCCGGGCAGTGGACAACGCCCCGGGCGGTTCCCCCGGCATCCGCCCCGCGGTTCCCCCAGCTACGTCCCCTTAGATTAGCGTAGTTTATCTCATCGTAGCTTAGCTTGCTTAGCTCTGCCTACTAGGCTCTGCCTAGATGGCTAGCTTAGCTTAGCTGAGCTTAGCCTAGGTTAGCTTAGCTTAGCATAGCAGAGCGCTGCATTAGCATATCATATCATAGCATAACATAGCCAGCCATAGCATAGCATAGCATAGCATAGCATAGCATAGCAGAGCGCAGCATAGCATATAATGGCATAACATAGCGCAGCTTAGCATGGCATATCATAGCGCAGCATAGCATAGTACAGCATAGCATGTCACAACATAGCGCAGCTTAGCATAGCATGCCGTAGCGTATCATAGCATAGCACAGCGCAGCAGGACATACCATATCTTAGCATCGCATAGCATAACATATCATAGCATAGCGCAGCATGGCAAAGTAGAGCTCAGCATAGCATAGCGCAGCATCGCATGGCATGGCATGGCATAGCATAGCATAGCATAGCATAGCATAGCAGCTAATGCTGCTTTCCTAGCGGCTCCAACTTCTAGGTAGGGTCGCACTGGGGTAACCCCTGCATTTTTAATACATGATCCGCACGCGGAGCATGTATTAAAAACTGCCCTGTACTACCAGCTAACGACGTGTAACACGGGCGACGCGGGCGTCGTCGAGCCGGCGGCCCTCGTGGCCCCCACCTTCCCTGTCGATGGCGCCCTCCTCCTCCCCTCTCCTCCTCTCCTCCTCCTCCTCCTCCTTTCCTCCCTCCTCTCCTCTCTCCCTCCTCTCCTCCTCCTTCTCCTCCTCCTCCTCCTCCTCCTCCTCCTCCTCTCTCCTCCTCCATCCTCCTCCTCCTCCTCCTCCTCCTCCTCCTCCTCTCCTCCATCCTCCTCCTCCTCCTCCTCCTCCTCCTCTCCTCCTCCTCCTCCTCCTCCTCCTCCTCCTCCTCCTCCTCCTCGTCCTCGTCCTCCTCGTCCTCCTCTTCCTCCTACCTCCTACCAACCACCGACGCGTGACGATGCTCACCTCCAGCCCACACCCTGCCCGGGGCGCGGGCGCGGGCGCGCCACTCATGGTCACCTCGGGGGGCGGGCGGGTGCGGGCCGCTCGGGCGGACGCGCAGGGGCGGCGCGAGCGCAGGACCACGGCAAGAGAGAGGAGGAGGAGGAGGAGGAGGAGGAAGAGGGGAGGAGGAGGGAGGAGGAGGAGGAGGAGGAGGAGGAGGAAAGAGGAGGAGCGAGGAGGAGGAGGCGGAGGAGGAGAGGAGGAGGAGGAGGAGGAGGAGGAGGTGCGAGGAGGAGGAGGGGAGGAGGAGGTAGGAGGAGGAGGAGGAGGAGGAGGAGGGGGAGCAGAAGGAGGAGGAGGAGGAGGAGGAGGAGGAGGAGGTGCACCGGATTAGCTAATTTAGTCTGGCGGCCCCGGCCCAGCGGACGATGGCAACCAAACACTGGCACCGTCTCTGACCAGGCTGCCTCTGGGCCAAGAGATCGGCGTGCCCGTCGGTCGGGAGCCTACAAAGGACGCGCGCGCGCCCAAACACGTACGTGAGCGCGGCCCCCCCTATCCCCGCGAGACCGGCCGCGTGATGCGAACGTTCGCACAGTGCGTGCTCTCGAAACCAATGTAGACTCATGCACGTGTCAAGTAGGAGCTCGTCCACACGAAACCTTCCACAAGAAACCCAAGCCTGAGACCTCAGGACGTCCATGGATTTTTGGTGTGGGAGCGTCACGCTTCCCACGGCGAAACCATCGGAGCCCCAAGAAGCCGAGGGCACCCTGGAGGCGAGCAGGGTGTTTCTTGGCATGGGTTTCCACTTTACGTCCTTCCTTCGCTCCTGAAACCCTGAGAGCTGGGCGTCGCATGTTTGTGCGCACCCCGTGCTCCCGCCAGGCCTCGGGCCCCAAGACCATCACAGTTCGATGCAGCTCGACCAATGCACCAGAAAGAGACTGGGCCTACTTGGCTCCCGTCGTGATGTTTCGCGATGCTGCGTTTTTGGGGGGCCCACCCTCCCGTCGTGTTGGGCCCTCGTTTTGAGGAGACGGCGCCCCTATCGCTCCTTTCCTCCCTCGCTCCCCCTTCCCTCCCTCATCCCCCTCCGTACTTCTGCCCTCCGCATCCAGTCCAACAGTTCGGTGCACCCCGCACACGTTTGGTGTCCCCACGGGGAGCTGCACCGAAGGCCCCAGTGGCAGGGTCCACATGCCTCCCCAACCCACTGCAGCGTTTCATGGCCCCAGACGGAACTCCACTTAGGGCCCCAATGGCAGGGTCCACATGCGTCTCCCCGCCCCATTTTGGCACACCCCTCACACGCTTAGCGTCCCCATATGAAGTTCCACCGAAGGTCCCAGCGGGAGGGTCCACAGGCGTCTCCCCAACGAAGTACAGCGCTTCGTGGCCCCAGACGGAACTCCACTTAAGGCCCCAGTGGCCGCGGACGCACACATCTTCCCCATCCACTACAGCGCTTCGAAGCTCCATAAGGAGCTCCACCGAAGGCCACAACGGCCGCAGCCGCAAGTTCCTCCCCAACCAGTACAGCGCTCCGTGAAGCTCCACTGAAGGATCCAGTGGCCGTGGTCGCCTGCACCGAAGGCTTCCTTGTCGACGTTCGCATGCGGACCCAGGGCCCATGTCGACGCAACCCTCACACGCTTCGTGGCCCCATGTGGAGCTCCACCTGGAGCCCCACTGGCACAGTTCGCATGCGCTCCACACCGCCACCATTACGGCACACCCCTCACTAGCTTCGTGGCCCCATGGGGAGCTCCACCGAAAGCGGTAACGACAGCGCGGCATTCGTCCTTCGCCAGGATACGTTCGCAACGTCGGAGCTCAGGGTACACGCCTCCCTGCCATAGCGAGGACGGAGTATGCACCAGGACAAAAAAGCAGCCAGCCCCTGGGGAAGTGGGCCCAAAGGCCTGGGGAAGGTGAGAGGCAGGCGGGAGGAGAAAGGGAGGACCAGTGAGGTGGAGGAGGAGGAGGAGGAGGAGGAGGAGGAGGAGGAGGAGGAGGAGAATAAGGAGGAGGAGGAGGAGGAGGAGGAGGAGGAGGAGGAGGAGGGAGGGGGAGGAGGGAGGGGAGGAGGAGAGGAGAGGAGAGAGGGGGGGATGAGGGAGGAGGAGGAGGAGGAGGAGGAGGAGGAGGAGGAGGAGGAGGAGGGAGGAGGGAGGAGGAGGGGGAGGAGGGGAGGAGGAGGGGGGGGGGAGGAGAGGAGGGGGAGGAGGAGGAGGCGGGAAGGAGGGGAGGAGGAGGAGGAGGAGGAGGAGGAGGAGGAGGAGACGGAGGAGAGGGAGGGAAGGAAGGAGTCGAATCGAATCGAGCTCTGGGAGCACCAAGTCAGATCGTCCACTCGTGAGAAGCCTGGGACGCGCCAGGTGTCATCGCACCAGTCTGTGCCGGCAATCTGCTTGCTGCGGCGCCCTGGGGACAGCCACCAGGGCACTTTGCAAAAGCCTGCCGCAAGGGCAGGAGATGCTGCTCCGGTGATCTGCGGCCGGTTACGGAGGAGGGAGAAGGGAGAAGGGAGAGGGGAAGGACGGAAGGAGGGGGGAGAAGGGAGGAGGGAGGAGGGAGGGAGGAGGAGGGGGAAAGAGAGAGAGAGAGAGATGAGGAGGGAGAGGGAGGAGGGAGAGAAGGGGGAGGGCGGGAGTCGAGGAGCAGGTGCTTCTTGCAGGCGCTGTTTGGGAGGTGCCCCTGCAGAGCCGTGACTTTGGGAGAACTCCAAGCAACACACCGCCAGCAGTCGTGGCCAGGCCATCCTGGGCCCCAGACTGGTGCACAGTCCCGCCTGGCCTAGGCCTGGAGGTCTATGCAACAGGCCAGGGCCCAGGCGGAACCTGGCCGGGGCTGGTGGTGGTGTACTGCTGGCGTCCCTCCGAGACTTGTGAGAGAACGGGGGGGGAAGAAGGGGGAAGGAGGACGGCGACATGAGGACAAGGGAAGACGGCGGAAGGATCAGAGGAACAGAAGACGGCACTGACATCATTTCGCGGAGCTCCACGCGGATTTCTTGGATCGGCCCTCCTCACTTCCCCCCGGGCTCGCCGCCGACTGTATCCGATGTATCTCGGGGGGCATTTGCCGTGACCTTAGCTGCACCGATACACAGCACGCAACACGTATCGTATTGATACGGCGCTCAACACGTGGGCTGAAAACGTAGGTCCAACGCGATACATTCGCCAAAACGTGGTCCAATACGTGCAGCCAACACGCAACGTATTGACACGGACGCTTCGAGCACGGCACGTGTTGCGCATCAAAACGGGCGTATCAAGGCAGCTGAGGCCGTGACAGAGGCTCCTCGTCCTCCGACTCCTGCTGCTGCCCCCTGGCTGCTGCAGCTCCTCCTCGCCCGCAGCCCCCCCCCCCCTCCCCCCCCGAAGCGGAAGGGGGACGACGAACGACGACGACGACGACGACGACGACGACGACGACGACGACGACGACGACGACGACGACGACGACGACGACGACGACGACGACGGCGACGACGACGACGACGACGACGAGGGGGCGCGCTGCGGCCCCCTCCCCCCCCCCCTCGGGGGCGGCTCGCGGCACCGACCACTCGGACTCGATGGAGCACCAGGTCACGAAGGGCACGATGGTGCCCCGCGCCGTCTCCAGGTTGCGGCGGGCCAGGAAGTGCATGACGGGCTCCAGCAGCCTCCCCAGATATCCGACGTCTCGATTTTTTCGAGACGCGGGCCCCCGACCTCCCGCCCACTTCCCCGGGACCAGCTCTTCATCCCGAGTCGGTGTTTGACGGTCCCGAGGCCCAGCCAGGGCCCCGGGACGCCGAAAACGACGAAACACTTTCGTCTCGATTTTTTCGAGACGCCCGATGTCTGGGTCGCGCGGGGGGGGGGGGCTCCCGAGAGAGCTCCAGGAGGAGCGAGGCCCGAGGCGCCGGGACCGCCGGGAGCTCGGGGGAGCAGGGCGCCGCTCTGCTCCGCGCGGGCCACGCGCGAGGCGTTGGGGGGGGGGGGCCTGCGCGAGCCGCTGGGGGGGCCTGGAGACCTTCCTCAGGGGTGGCTCCAGGGGAGGGTGGAGGGAGGGAGGGAGGGGGGGAGGGAGGGAGGGAGGGGAGGGGAGGGAGGGAGGGAGGGGAGGGGAGGGAGGGAGGAAGAGAGGGGAGGGAGGGGACAGGCCCCCAGGGGCTGCACAGGGCTACGAGGGGCACGCTCCAGCAGGACAGCGTGACGACGTCCCGCAGGGAGGCCAACTACCTACCCCGCAGCTCAGGAAGAGCACTTGACCTCCCCGCACGCCCAGCAACTCCGATCAGCCGATCCTGCCACCCTTCATGGATAGGAGCACTCTCCCTCCCTCCTTCCCTGGTCCTCCTTCCCCCCTCTTCCCCCCTCCTCATTATTCCTTTTCGTCCTCCTCCACCTCTACAACCACACAATATGAATACAACTCCTTTCTATTCATCTCCCTGCCCGAAAGATGTCCCAGCCCCCTCCGCGTCTTTTCTTCCACGCAGGATTGGGCCGCACTGGTTTTTCATCTGGCTTTTTGCAATCCGACTGCCTTCAGTTTTCAGAAATAGTGCTCTCGCTGCAGCGTGGTTTTTTGGGGGGGATCGGCGCTGTGCTCCTGTCGTTCAGAATGATGCTCCCGCCCCATCGTGGGCAATTTTTCTGGATCCCGCAGGTCTCGCAGTCCCCACAGTTGTCGCAAGTCGTCACAAAGGTCCCACGGGCACCACAGGTCTGACAGGTTCCACATGCCCCACAGGTGTCGAAAGTATGGCATGCCCCACAAGTCCAACAGGTCCCGCAGGTCCCTCGGGACCCTGAGGTGTCACACACCTCGCATGTCCCACAGAGGTCCCCCAGGTCCTCAGAGAAGCCCCGCCGTGGACAAGAGGTCCCACGGGTCTCGCAGGTCTCACAGGTGCCACAGTCCCCACAGGCCCCACAGGTACCACAGGTGTCGCAGGTTTCATCGGGTCGGGCGAAAGGGGGGGATAGCAAAGGGGGGGGTGAGAATCAGCTCACGTAGCTGATTTTCCCGGCGCCTCCCGGCGCCGGAGGCGGCTATGTATCGAGGAATGGGCCCCTCGGTGGGGCCGAAACCAGCTGCATGCAGCAAATTTCGTAACCCCCCCTTTCCCAATCCCGCCCTTTCGTCCGGCCCGACTTCACCAGGCCACGCAGGCCACGAGAGGTCCCACAGGCCGCCCAGGTCCCACGAGTTTTACCCTCTTCCGACGGACCACAACACGCTGGGAGTCTTCTGCGGAGAGTCCCAGGTCGGCCATGGCGCGTGCCCGCGGATACGGCAAACGCCAGCACAGCGAGAGGGGACGGGGAGGGAGGGACGGCGAGCGGGCCTGGCTTGCCCCTCTCCCCTCGCTCGTCTCTCCTCCTCCTCCTCCTCCTCCTCCTCCTCCTCCAATCTTGTTCCTTGTCAATACCTTCTCCCTGTCGCCCCCCGAGGCCCAGTGTTTGGGGCGGGCCGGGCGTTTCGCCTGAGACCTCCGCACCACTTATGGCTGGGGAGCTTGAAAGATGGCAACAGCTTCACAGATGGAGGGCGGGTGGTTTTCAAACTGTGGCTCTCCCCTTAGCGCGGCGCACATTCGTTTTGAACAATTACAAAAGTTTCACGGGTTGAGGGCGGATGGTTTTCAACATGTGACTCTCGCCTTAGCGCGGCGCACATTCGTTTTCTTTTAAAAATTCTGTTAAAACAAAAATGCAAGAGTCTCACGGGCTGAGGGCGGGTGGTTTTCAACATGTGGCTCTCGCCTCAGCGCGGCGCAAAGTCGTTTGACCAAAACTGCAAGAGTCCCACAGAAGTTTCACGGATTGAGGGCGGCTCCTTTTCAAAATGTGGTTCTCGCCGTAGCGCCGCGCACATTCGTCTACAACAAGTTCAAGAGTTTCACGGATTTCCCATCAGCAACGTAGCAGATTTTGCTAAGGGTTCAGTATTACGGGAGTGCAACAGTTACGTTGATACGTTGATTCATTGTGTTGATGTCCCAGAAATGGCGTTAGGGTACGATTCAGGATCGTCAAGATGCAGCAGTCAGGTTGATCCGTGGCGTTGTAATTCCGCGAAAAATCATTTGGCATGCTTCAGGGTCTTCAAACAGCTGTCTTCCAACGAGGCAGTTCCTCAATGGACATGAACCGTTGTAGGCGCCTACGAGGAGGGAGCTTGGAGGGAGGGTTTACTCCACCACCTCCTCCTCCTCCTCCTCCTCCTCCTCCTCCTCCTCCTCGAGCGTCTGCGCTGCTCGTCTTGTCTCCTCCTCCCCCTCTTCCTCCTGCACCCCCATCTCCTAGAGGCCTCCTAGATGTGGTCCGAGTAGATGGGGTCGGAGGATCGCGCCGCATCGGCGATGCATCGGCGATGCATCAGCGACGTTTGCGATGCATCGGCGGCGCCGGTGTGACGAACATCGGGCTCCGCCGCGTCGAGCCGCACCGCCGATGCATCGCCGATGCATCGGCGATGCATCGACAATGCGGTGCGATTCCCCGACCGCATCTCGCCGCCGCTCGGACGTCCATTTCCCGTGCATTTTCCGGTTTCGTGCGTGTTTTTTTTTTTGCTCGATGGTCCAGGATGGTCCTCGAGGCTTCTCGCCGAGACAAAGTGCACACGTCCGAGCGATGCCGAGTCCCCCGCGCGCTCCCGCGCGCGCGCGCAGGGAGGGCACCCGGACAGGCCCCCCGTCAGGCTCCCACCGGGCGCCCACTGCTGGCGCGGGGGGGTGTCTCGATTCAACGAGGGCGCGTGCAGGGGCGGAGGCGGGGCACACCAGGGCTTAATGGGAGCCTCCCACGCCGGGATCCTGCCAAGCAGACCCAGCCTCGACCTCATTGTCTATATCCCAGGCCCCGGCATCGGGCACTCGACAAAAATGGAGGCGGAGTTTTTGTTTCGTAAATTTTGTTTTTGCCTCCTGGGGCTCTCGCAGGGCCTCGGGACCGACAAACAACGACTCGGGACGGACAGCCAGTCCCAGTGAAGTGGTCGGGAGGTCGGGGGCCCGCGTCTCGAACAAATCGAGACTTCGGAGGTCTGGGGAGGCGTTGCCAATCTTAGGGATGCGCAGAAGCTGGGGAAGACGTTGGACAAACAAACCTGGAGGGAGCGGAGACTGGAGAAAGCTCCGACCCAGACCCGAGTCAGTCGGGCCTTGCAAGATCCTGCAAAATTCTGCAAGATCCTGCACCCAAACCCGGGCCAATGCGAAGGATCCTGCAGGATCCCGCTCCCACGCCCGGGTCAGTGCGACCCTGGCCCTGCAGGGTCCTGCAAGGTCGGGCGCTCTGGCTGACCCCCGCCTGCGCTGGCCCCCGTCTCGAGGCTCCCGAGTGCGGCATGCACGCCCCGCCCGCCCCGGGGGCCTGGCAGGGCTCTCCGAGCCCTTCCTGCCGTCCCCAGGGCCCCAGAGCCCTGGCCCAAACACTGGCCATCGCTCGGACGTCCATTCCCTGTGTTTTTTCGGTTTCGTGCGTGGTTTTTTCGTAAAATGATCAAGGAGACGTCCTCGCCGAAGGAAAAATGCACACGTCCGAGCGATGCCAGGAACATGGCAAGGCTTCGGGCTGCGCGCAGGACAGCCCCCCCCCGGGGATCAGCCCCGGCTGGCCCCTGCAGGCCCAGACGCCGGGCGTCTCGCCAACCATCGCGGCGGAGGTGCTTCGCCGCTCCCGGCCTCCCTATAGGGCCCTCGTCGGCCTCGAGACCGTCGAAAAACGACTCGGATCGAAAAATCGATCCCCGAGAATGAAGGGGCCCCAGGACACACACAAATAAATACACACAAATAAAACGATTCCCCATATTTTTTATTTGTTCTGGGTTTCTGTTTCCCCCCACTTCCCATATTCTCCCATATTTTCTGGGGAGCCGACGATGCATTGTGTCTGCGTGTTTTTTCCTCTCCTGAGAGAAGTGGTCGGGAGGTCGGGGGCCCGCGTCTCGCAAAAATCGAGGCGCCGGAGTTCTGGGACCAGCCCGGGGCGGGCTCGGCACCCTGGCGCCGCCTCCGGCGGCACCCCTGCAGGCGCTCCGCGCCCCGGAGATGAGGCCTGTGCCGTCCCAGAGAACACATCGCTAGGCTTGGAGAACTGCGCCCGACGCTCCGACGGGGGCCCAGAGATCCGGCGTCGTGATTCTTTCCATGCGGGGTATAATTAGTCCCTGGAAGTCGCGACCTGTTCCCCAGGACCGGTGTTTCATCCCGAGTCGTTTTTTGACGGTACCGAGGCCCGGCGAGGGCCCCCTAGAGGCTCCTCCTCCTCCTCCTCCTCCTCCTCCTTCTCCTCCTCCTTCACCTCCTCCTCCTCGATTTTTAAAATTCTCAAGGCCCAGGTGCACGGCAGGCTCGCGCCGTGCGGACGCGGGCATGCGTCTCCGACGCCGCGTGGACCACGCGAGCTCACGGGCGTCCAGCGGCCCCGATTTCTGTTTCGATGCACGGGCCCCGGAGGCCTGAACCACTCGATGCGGGATGACGACTAATAAAAAATGGAAGAGAGCGATTAAAAACATAGTGGAGGAGAACGATTAAAAATAATAGTTTTCCAGCCCGCGGCCGGTTTTTTCTAATCGTCATCCCGGGCGCCGCCGCGTGAACACGACCCCCGGTCATTTATTAATCGTCATCCTCCATTACGAGCCGCTTTTCCGCCCTGATCGTTTTTGACGGCCCCGAGGCCCGGCGAGGGCACCTGGAGGCCAAAATCGACCCAAACCGGCCTTTTCGATGCCCCGGAGGTCTGAACCACTTCCATAGGGCCGCTTTTTCGCCCTAGCTAGACCGTTTTTGACGGCCCCGAGGCCCGGCGAGGGCCCCCGGAGGCCAAAATCAGCCCCAAACCGTCCGCTCCGATGTTTTGGAACGTCGGATCTCTGGGCTCCATCGATCGCGGGCTTCCTCCCGATAGCGTTGACTCGGGGGCGGCCAAGAGGGGCGTGTCCAAGAGGGGGGGTGCAAATCATGACCAGCGGCATGTGCGCGGCCCAGCGGGGGCGCCAGGGACGTAATGAAACAAGAAGAAGCGCCATGAAATCTGAGGAGATATCATGGCCCGCGCCATGATATCCACCCCCCCCCCAGTCATCTCCCCCCTCTTGTCCGCCCCCGATATATGGCCGCTTTTTGGCCCTGATCGTTTTTGACGGCCCCGAGGCTCGGCGAGGGCCCCTGGAGGCCAAAATCGGTCCCAAAGCGGCTTCTTCGATGCCCCGGAGGTCTGCACCACTTCCCTAGGGCCGCTTTTTCGCC